GGTGGCTGTAAGTATCCTCTGTTGGTCTGTTTCTAATTGTTGGACATGCCATGTTAATGTGTTAATTTTGGTTCTTTCTTCTTTTTGGTTGTGTGCATTTATTGCAATAAATTGTCCCCTCAGCACCACTTTCGCCGTGTCCCAAAGATATTTGGTATGTGTGTTCGTTCTCATTTGTTTCTAGGAACTTTGTGAGTTCACGTTTTATTTCTTCTACTATTCAGTCACTTTTCAGCAAGGTGTTATTCAGTTTCCATGTATTTGATTTTATTTCCTTGATCTTCCTATTGTTGATTTCTAATTTGATAGCATTGTGGTCTGAGAAAATTATTTGTAGTATTTTGATATTGTAAATTTATGGAGGCTTGTTTTGTGGCCTAAAATGTGGTCTATTCTGGAGAATGTTCCATGTGCACTGGAAAAGAATGTGTATTGTGCTGTTGTTGGGTTGAATGTTCTGTACACATCTATGAAGTCCAGTTGGCTGATTGTGTTGTTTAGTTCCTCCATGTCTTTGTCAAGGTTCTCTCTGGTTGTTCTATCCATTTTTGAAAGCTGTGTATTAAAATCGTCCACTATTATTATAGATTCATCTGTTTCTTTCTTCAAATCTATTAGAGTTTGCTTTATATATTTTGGTACTCTTTCACTGGGAGCATAAATATTTATTATGGTTATGTCATCTTTTTCAATTGCCCCTTTAATCATGAGATAATGTCCATCTTTAACTATTATGCTGGTTTGTGCCTTGAAGTTAATTTTATCAGAGATTAGTACTGCCACTCCTGTTTGTTTTTTATTGCAATTAGCTTGGTATATTGTTTTCCATCATTTGACTTTTAATATGTTTTTTTATCTCTGTGTGTTAGATGTGTCTCTTGCAGACAGCATATTGAAGGATCTTGTTTTCTTATCCATTCTGCTACCCTCCGTCTCTTAACTGGTACATTTAATCCGTTCACATCAGTCTAATTATCGATTGTTGTTGTTTTTAAGTTCCGTGGAGTCAGTTCCGACTCATAGTAATGCTGCACAGGGTTTCCGAGCCTGCAAATCTTTACAGGAGCAGAAAGCCTCATCTTTCTTTCGTGGAACAGCTGGCAGTTTCGAGATGCCGACCTTGAGGTTAGCAGCCTGATTAGTATTATCCATAGATAATATATTTTGGTGCCATAAACAAACATAATTGCTGCCCTTATGTTTGTTTTTTTGTGGTGCTGCTGCTTTCTTTGTTCTGCGTGTCTTCCTGTGCTGAGTTCAGGGTTTTTATGTTCTTTCTTGTCAGTTTCCTCATAGTTTTAATGTTTCCATGTTCTTCTTGGATTTTCATTTTCTTGGTATGTTGTGAAGTGTTAATTTTCTTTGA